TTAATTTACCACTAAAAAAATATATGGATTACTCTGCATGTTTTACTATAGATGTAAATATGTTTTGGATTTTTATATTGTTTTGTTTCTTTCCATGCTCCCACAAGCAGTTGTGTTTATTAAAATTTGTAATCTTCTGTACAAAGAGCTTGTCTTTATTCATACTTTCTCTTCCAACAAACAACCTGATTTAATATAACAAGAGACAACCATCTCAAATCCAGCAAATGTCCAGTGTGTTAGCTCGCAGAGATGGAGGGCAGGTTGACGTAGACCTTCATGGGAGGCAGGGGTTTGATCTTGCGTCCCGCCCAGCCCCCCTTCCTCTGCCACAAACCACTCGAGGGACGGATGCCGAGCCAGCGGTTGCGCCCGGCTTTACCAATGATCCGTTTGTTGTGGTCGATGTTTGAGACGCGTCCCACTGTGACCATGCAGGTCTCCAACACCTGTGTGTGTCCAGATGAAAAACATTCAGAGCAGATCATAGTTTGAAAACAACAGGGGACTATTTTAAATATGGATACTTCACCTGGACCTGCTGCTTCGAAGGGAGCTGAATGATTGCAGTTCCATTGACTTTACGGAGCAAAACGCCACTTGTGCCTGAAAAGCAAAAATACATCCAGGTTAGATATCATGAGTCACCACATTTTACAGCAACTATAACGTTGTTACAAACGACCGAGGCACTCAGATTGCATTAAATTAATCAATAAACCGCAAAAACACTTTTATATTCTTACAACTCCACATATTTTATATTAGGTCTGTAGGGTGTGTATTTAGAAAGGGATTTTTCTCAAATTAAAGCCAATAAATTAATATTTTTCAGCTTTTATTTAAGTTGTCTTTCTCTAGAAGCTGTATGGGTCATTCTTTGTAATGATCTTTTATGGAGATAAAGTAGACACACTATTGATATATCACATGAAATATGTGGTGTTGTGTTAAATTGAGTTTGATTGTCCATGACTGAAGAGTATTTGGCCTTAACTGAATTGATGAATACTTCACAACCTTATGACATTTTGAAGACAAATGAATTGAAAAAAGTGTTTAACTGTTCAGAATCATAAGCAAGAGCCTAAAGAGTAACTACCTGCTGCACGAATGTACTCGGATCCTTTCCCTGGTTGTATCTCCAGGTTGTTCACCAGCGACCCCACAGGAAGAGCCCCCAGCGGGTACGCATCGCCCTCATTGGCAGAGACTGCAAAGTAAAAATATTTAGTACAATGTTGTGTGAAATACAGATCTTGAGGCAAGGTTAGACGATCTTTTTACCTGCCATGCGTCCGATAACTGCAGACGTTTTAATAACGTCTCCAGGCTGCATGTTCTCTGTGGCGATGATCCATCTCATGCGGCTGCCTCCAGCTACCATGGCGATATTAGCAGACCTGAGGAACAGATCATGAGGATACAACTCTGTCTTTAGAATCAAAAGTCCTGTGAGGTGAGAGCTGATCTCACCTGCATGGGTCGTACCGCACTTCAACCACCTTCTCGTCAAAGGGCTGGTCCACTTTGGTTGGTTCATAGCGCAGCCGCTGGAAGTCTATCATCCGGTACCTCTGTTTGTGGCCTCCACCAATGCCATGTGTTCGTACCTTTCCTGTAACGCGGAAAGAAAAAGGTGAACAACTCTTCACACCTGGCTCGAGTCAGAACAGGCTTTTGTCAAAGCAAATATATCACTGAATAATGTCAGGCCTATACCCCAGGTTAAACAGGAGGAGGATGTTACCATCAGGCTTCTCAAAGCAAAACAGTTAAACTGGTGCTCATTTCAAACAGTGCTGCCCTTGGCCAAATTGGGGCCCTACGCAAGATTTTTTTAAATGCGCTAAATAGTAGAGGCCCGCCCTACGCACTGCACGTGTTCTGCGTATATGGAGCGGCGGCACTGCCTGCAACTACACCCTTTTTCACAACTATTCATTATCAGTTATTCTGCTAATTTCTTACTTGTTTACTAGACTAGACATTTGGGTTGTACATTTGCGAAAACGTTCAATAATTAAAATACTGTCAATCAAAATGTCTTGAGACCCAGAGTGACATTTGCAAATAGCTCGTTTTGTTCATTTTAACCCTTTTCAGGAAATGGGAATATTTTCTTATCCTTAAGGACAATTACATTTTTACCTCTGTAGATAACCTATTACACATTTACAAAAACGTTACTTAGTCTAATCAAACCTGGACTAGACTTGCACATAAAGTTTGAAAATGGATTTAAACTCTGTACCAAATTGTAAGACTTCCTTCCATTTGTAAAAACAGGAAAAGGGCAGTTTCTTTTTTACCGCCTGCGCTTATCCCATTTAGACCTTGACTAGACACTAAAATACAGTTTTTAATCTCTGTTTACAACTTGTAATCTATCAGTGAAAACACAATATAGGGCAAATACAAAACTGCACATGTGCTCCCAACTTTAACCTTGTCCTCCTCAGTCTCTACCTGTGTAATCTCTGCCTCCGGTCTTCTTCATGCCAATAGGTTTGATTGTATACTTCTCCCTCAGCTTCCATTGTGTCTTGTTCTGCTTCAGAGAGGCTGTGGTGAGGAAGCCTCTGCACTGGTTTAGGACTACACCAGTCAGATGAGGTGCCAGCTTTGTCTGTGCAACTCCCTGTAAACAGTAGAAAGCGATATTGATTGTCTGGTGGTTGTGATGGGGGATCAGATCTCTGGTATGAAGAACAGGCAGGGGATGTTTACCTGCGAGGAAAGCAGGGCAGGCTGGGAGAGAGTCATGGACCGCAGGGCTCGGGTTAGACACGACAGCGCCATCATAACAGCGTCCTCCTGACAGATCTGTGGAGCAGAGGGCAGGTTTATCAGCTGGTAGTTTGTCGCTTCAGTTCATCTGTTTGTCCCACTAACTGGCGTGCAACATTAGCTTCAAAGTACTCCTGTTTTTAACCCATTAATGCTGAACTAAACCATGAGGATTCAAACGGTTACTGGTCACCAAAATAGTATTACCTTCTATATTTTAAATGGCTCAATTGTGGATAAACTGTCAGTTACTTTGCAGTAACCTTACCAAATAAACATTAGCAATCGCTAGCTTAGCCTGAGGTTAACCTAGCTCCATAAATACACCTTCCTTTTAATTTCTGTTGTATTAAACCACACCAAAATGTGCCCCTTAACCCATGTCAACTTGCAATATAATACAGTTTGAGAGTAATAATAAACCAACCTTTATATTAGACTTATTTCATCACAAGCTTCTAGTCGGCGTCCTTCACAGTCCTTTGACACGCTGCGTCGCGCACTGATGACGTGTGCTCCGACTTCCAATCAGGGGTGTATTTTTTTCTTTTTATCCTCCTTGTACTAAATAATGTACAAGTCAAAAATTAACTGTACTATATTAAGAGCATACATAATACATATTTGTATTTATAATTGTATAATAATAAAAACATAGAGTACATTAACATTAAATAAATCAGCTGGTTTCAAAGTCGCCTCTGGGTAGCATAGCCTTTTTATGTACAATATAACATTACGTTTGTACATTAATTATTAAATTAGTTTATTTTTAAGTTCAACTAAGTAAAATTCACAATTAGCTTTCTTTATAGTAGAGGTTAATATTATCAACAGGTGTTGGGTGCTGTCAGTGGTGAGGTGGCTATAGTTGACACAATAATTAACTGTCCTCTGTTAATTTAGAGAGACAGCTTCTATTTAAAATAATTGTCTGAGTTAATTATCATATTAAGTTTAGTTTTTTCAGAACAATGTACATGGTGTGTCATTGTGTGTTTCATGTAGGCAGGGGCGGTTCTATGGGGGGGGGGGCAGTGTCCCCCTAACACTGACCTCTGACCCCCCGGTGGCCCCCCTAACAATGAAACATTATTTTTTTTTTAAATGTATATTTTCTGGTACTCGGTTTGCCAAAAACCGCAGGATTTTGTTTCTGTAATGTGAGATTGTGCAGACACCCTTATGTAAAGTAGAGATGTAACTGTTCATTGCCTTTATTTTTATATAAATATGGTGTTAGTGCAAACATTGCACTATAACTTAAGCTGAAGCTAACAGTAATAACTATAAGATCTATCTGAAATAAATAAGTGTACTGAAACAAATACCAATAACTGTATTGCATTTTTTTCTTATGCGCAATTACTTCATACTGTCTAGTTCTCTTTTTCGTCCTGCATTTATTGTGCCCCCCTCAGAAAATAACTGGCCCCCCAGTGGCCCCCCCCAGTCAAATTGGTCTAGAACCGCCACTGCATGTAGGCTACGTGTAATACTAGGAACTGTGTTTACCTGGGTAAAAGGGACGTCTGTTATATTTTCCCTCAGGAGGGTTAATTGTTTGTAGAATCATTTGGAAGATGGTAATGATATTAAAGTGGTAGAATTACTTTCTCATGTGAGTGTTGGCCACAGGTTAGCCACCAGATGTCACTAAATACTCTTGGTATTCTTTCTGTGGTGGAATTTATGGGCTATTCATAGACACTATATGGCTATGATATGGGCTGTATATATAAAGGGCTATGACTGTAGACTGGTTATGACTTTATAGTGTGGTCGTATGTCTTTAAAAGTGAGATAAAACATTAAAAATAAAGTAATTTATGTCTGCACTTTCAACTAAAAACATGTTATATTGTAGCCCACCTGTAGTGATGCCAGTAGGTTTTGGGAGAGTAATTTGATCAACTGAATTTCCTAATATATAAAATAATACTTCCAGATCTCAAATGTTTGTGGTTAAACCCTTTATTTTATTTTAAGTTGCAATGTCTGAATTTGAAATAGGCCTAATTAAAATGTATTCCAAAGTATTCAGATTAGATTTCTGGCAATCCAATAGTTAACGGTACTAATTATTTTAACAGATAAATGGCCATGTCATTTGTATTATTTTACTGACTCTGTTATTTGACTCATATCTGAATATACATCCATGACTGTCTGACCCAACCCTGTGGATCGAAAACAAAACATGACGTCACCTTATCAGCCGCAGGGCCTTCTGGGAGAATATTGCGGTGTCGGAGACATTTTGGATTTAAAGGGGCTGAGCTAGCCGTCAGTCCTAGCTCTTGGTAAGTAATATATGCACTTTCACTAATTAATATTATAAATGTGTGAAGCTTCTATGTGACCGTGTATTTAAGCGATATTTGTGAAATACCGTGTATATAAATGATTAAGGTGGTGGTTTGAACAGCAGGAGCAGCTAGGGAGTGGTGATGCTAGCTGGTTAGCCGGAGCTAGCTATCAAAGTCGCTAAGCAGAGCGCTTAACAGATCAAAAAGCAAGCTTCACTGTGGGGTAGCTTATTCAATGAGCATTTACAATATCATTATAATTAATCTACCCGTGTTTATATAATAGGCAACATATGCCCATATTGCTAATACTAAAACCTGTAGATGGATGTAGAATAATAAACCCCGTTTTGCACTACAAAAGTCAAAACAAAATGAAAATGTGAATTTAATTATGATCACCGATGGAGTTAATTGATAGACCATTTTATTTAGTTTGGGATTCATTTGGAAATGTTCAGAAGACTCTGTTTGTGTTCAATTTTCGTTAGGGTTGTGCAAAGTCATTAACATGTAGCTACCACGTCATTATATCAAATGTCGAGCTTTGTGTTTAATCAGGGCGACACCGTTGTACATCTGCGTGAGTGTTATAAGTACAGGTTCCACTGCAACAATACTCCCATGTCAGTTTTTCTGCATCAGTAACGTTAGCAAAATCCATGCAGGCAGTGTTCAGCCCACCATTAGTGGGGAGCAGCCCTCTCGCAGCTGGTCTCAGTGGAGTGATTGATGACTGTGGGCAGTGACAGTGGCACTTCCCTCCTGGCTGTCCCAGACCCCGCCACACCCTCCCTGATGGCTGGCTGGCTCTGCTTTGTGTCTGGAAGTGATCCATACAGTGTTGTTGGACTGCTGTGCAGTAAACAGAGCAAGATGAAGTGATCCGGTCGTGTCAAACTTCATCAAATAGACAGCAAATGTTTATCAAGGGAGATGGCACAGACATTGTCCACTGGCTTGTTGATGCACTCTCCATAGTCTGTCTTGTTTTCCCTTTTCTACCCTATTATTTTATCATTTGAATTCCATCAAGCACCACACCCTCTCTCAAACAGCCTGTTTCTGCAGCCTGTGCTATGTTTTGTATTTGCTCATGAAGTATTTCCAGCTCAGCTTTCTCGATACGGTTGTATAAAAGAAAAAGTAGTATTTAGTGGTTTCATCATGCCCTTAAGTCAGGAAGATTCATACTTGGCAGTATTATGTACGCAATTACAGGTCCTTCAGTTTGTCCTCTCCAAAAGCACAATCGATTTGAATGACTGTAATGCAGTGGTAGGGAAGGATTCGGCGAACGAGGCCCTGAGGGAGCTTGATGGTGTTTTCTAAAGGGAGACGTGATCATGTAAGGCTTGAGGCCTCCGTGGAGATGGAGGCTAATGAAGAGTGGAGCTCTGGGTGGACAAACACGAGAGAGAGAGATGGCAAAGTTCTCTCTATAAACACAGCTCTATCTTTCCTAACTTGATATCTGGGCTGGATGTGCAAACACTCCTGCTGCAATATGACATGACCTTTGATCCTTCTGCAAGGTTGAGTCATATGACAAGTCAGTTCCTGATCCACCTCATCAAAACAATGTCAGAGTAAGACATGTCTATTCAGTTGTTATTGTAACAATGTGTTCGTGTTTTTATAAAAAATACATTTAGCTATTGTGGTGTTTGAAGATTCTTTGCTTCATAGGAGATTATGATTTATTGTTGAACTAGTTGAATAAGAAACATTGCTTCAGTGGAGGTGCCTTTCGGTGTGGTTAACATCTGGGAATGCATTAACACTACTCTGGATTGATTTCCCTCATAAAACCAAAGGTGGTCTATTGCCAGATATTTAGGGGCTAATATGAGTTGGTATAATCATGTTATCAGAAACCAGATAGTCCTTAAATCACTGCTGTGTCAATAAGCCTTTAAAGTCCCTTAAGAGGTTTATACATTTGAAAATGTTCTAAAATATAATAGTCCTTTGTCTGGTGGCCTAAAAATGTTCCCATCACTTATGAGCTGGATCGTAAAAGCGAAATGATTGGATCATGGATTATAAGTGAAAGTTGTCTTATCAGAAACTATATTGGTCCTAAGGTGTGAATGTATTGAGCTTGTTGTAGTACAATGAGACAGTAGGTGCCGGCCTTGCAGTGGCTTGCATGGTAACATGTAAATAGTGTCACCCTTTTGAGTCTCATCAGATCCATCCCTTTGTGTCTGATGCGTGCAAAGGAGCAGAGTCTAGATCAGGATGTGACCCTCCCCCATCAGACCTGCATCTCCACCCTCCTCTGCTCTCCTCCAGCTGTGGGCGGGGCCGTCTCTCGATGTGCGCCCTGAGCTCATGTTGTTGATTTTAATTCTCACGGAGCAGTGATCCCGTCATCCCGCGAGCAGCACCGTCCTCCTCTCCCAACCATCGGCGCTCATCTCTCTCATCCCTGTCCTCTCTCGTTTCCATCTGCCTCTGGCACCCTGAAGGTTTCCTTTTTCATTTGAAGGAGGATCGCTGTGGATTTGCACAGTCATTTTATAATGCACTTGGCCAGCGTTTAGCGCTATTGCTGGAGGAGGAGTCATTATTTCATCAGCTTCTCAGCGTGCCAAAGTATGAGACTCTGATCTGCCACTGAAACTGAGGTTAGTTTCCTGGTCCAGCAAGCTGTGGCCAAACAATGACGGCATTATTCATATATGGCTTAAACCTTTAGTAGGCATTTAGGGGGTTTTCTAATGGATATCTAGATCCTTTGTAATATTCCCTTTTGCATAGTTTTTCATCCTAAGGCTATACTTTGATTACAATAGGTCGTTTTGCTGAACTGATCCTATCTGTATAATCAAACATCTCTTAATGCACCAGGTCTCATCTTCACCGGCTTCTGATATAATGATAGGCTTTGAATGAGGGATTTATTTAAAAGGCTTTTCCTCTGGTGTGCCTGTGTTTACAGAAGTGAACATGTCTTCTTAATGGCTACTTCACTGGCTGCTGCTGAACACGACTAACACTTGATCCGGATAACTCCTGTACCCTGTCATGAGGTCTATTGGATAAAAGGCCAAATGACATGATTCTGACCTGTAGTTTATAAGTGTGATGTGTTCATGGTGAGTGTATTTTAGTATTCTAACTAGTTATAGCTGCTACATGTATTATTATCTTGTGATGCCCATGTTTTGTATGGAACACCACCAAAGTAAATGTTAAAGATGAATTCAAGGGCAGCTTTAAGAAACCAGCCTGTTGGACTTCATCACAACTCTTTAAAGACGTGGAACATATGAACTCCAGCAGCCTGAGGAAAGCAACAGTCGATGATACAGGTGTCGGTGAATGATACGAAGGCGAAGCTGCTTGTTTTTGCACTGACTGACATGAAAGCGCTTCTTCTCTTTGTGAGCTACTTCATGCTCTCAGCTAGGCAGGCCTTTCATCCAAACAGGCGTTTAACTGCTGAGGCTCTGAGCGACTGTACTGGGTAAAAAGCTGTCTAATCCAGGAGCATGCTTGATCTTTCAAAGAGGTCATTTCAAATCATGTTCATGGAAGGGAAGAGCTTAGGCACCAAACCCTTCCGAGGAGAAAAGTACTGTAGGCTGCATTGTGAAGAGAACTTCTCACCCGTGTGACATTTCTTAAAGCAAAACCTGGGTTTTATAAACCTTTACTTTTATTGTTGCCTTTTTGTAACCTAGTGATCATAGAGTCACGAGTCTAAATGTTCAAACTTCTATACAACAGTCGTATCTTTGCAAATGCAAATTGGAGTCAGCTACTCAGCTGAATTAGTTTAAAGCATGTGATGGACTGTTATGTAAAGTAGTGACAGCACAAAATGGCCCTCAGTTATGTGCTGCCTGTGGTCAAGTTCTCCCCAAACGTGTTTCTTCTTGTCTGCTGACTATGTCACTGATTGTAAGCCCTCCCTCTGGTAGTTCTGCTTTTGGTGTACTTAACATGAACTTCCAACGACCGTCACAGGTTTGCTTTTACAAGGAATTCTTACCATAACACTTTCCTTTTGAAATATCTATATTTGATTTGATATTTTATGTGTTTTTTTAAAATGCAGAGCAACAATGAGATCACACTTCTTCTAGACATCCATGCAGGTGAAATGTGGTGATCTGCAATCTGTGGAAGTGGTTCAGAACGAGTGCATGTTAACTATTCATCTTTTATATGTTGTTTGGTTAAAATGGGGTCATTTGATGTAGGAAACGCTTCTTTGAAGAGGTTGGCTGTCTCTGCGAACTAGCTTTTTACTGCTCCTCCAGTAGCTCCTGTAAAGAGATCATCGTATATATTGTGCAAGGAAATAGTAAATGGCAGAGGAGACGTGCACAAAGTCACCTCTGGGCACCGTGTACACTGTGATCTGTATGAATCCATCAGCAATGCTCAAGCTTTTAACATCTTAAACGAGATGCAAGCAGATTTGCATCAAGCTTACTCCACCCTTCACTTTTTCCATCACTACACTGAGGCTTCAGGAGTGTTTCTTTGTGTGCGAAAACATTGGCCATTTCTTCGAACAATATGCATTTTTTGTATTCTTCATTGGATTTAAGGAAGGGGGGTCACGAACCAAAGAAAAGTAAAGCTTTTAGTCAGAGTAAGTCCTTTCACATCGTAGCTGTATCCTCCCATTCGCTCTGTACTGGTAGGGTACCGGATACCTTTTTAGTATTGATCGCTGCCCCTCTCCTTCCTCTCCGGATCCTCCAGCTGGTCGTACACAGGCTCCAGTGTCATCCCGATCATATCTACCGGCTATCTGACATCCAGTTGGTCATTAGTTCACTTTAGTAGCTGCCCCGGCGTGCTCGTATTAGCATCATAAATGACACTCCCCTGACTGCCCTGCTGTGAACACATGATGCAACACGCACAGCTTCCTCTTTAATGACTGGATACTAGCAACACCCGCAGTTGTGTTTGTTTCTGCAGATGCTTGTGTCAGCTGAACTCGATGCACCAGAAAACCCTTTTTCTTTTGTAAGAAGTCGGAAAGCTAACGACTTAAAGTGGCCAGCCATTAACGCTGCTATTATTATTGGACAGTTGGACTTGCAAAGCTTTTTAGGCAAACGTTAATCCATTAATTGTATTCATAATAATCTGATGAATTGAATATAATGAAAATAATTGCAATTCCAACAGCCATTTCTAATTATGTTCATTCTTAACCCAATGAATATTAAGAAAATCATTTCACATCTTTTGTAGCTATGTTAATTCCAGCTTTCAACCACAGGTTTAAACTTGGCTGCTATTACATTTGTTGTTGTCACATTCCTAAGAATATATCTATTTGTTGTAGTCGTTATGCTCAGGTTAGGCTGATGTTGTTCTTTTATGCACTGCTTGTAGATAGAATAGACATTTGCGGAAATGCAAGTAGCCGAGCAGGGAGCGGCTCTCTAATGGTGTAGTTTATTTGTTCTCTTAGCAGATGGCTCTCAGCTGGTGTTTAGCACGGCAAGCCCCTCTTCCATAACCTCTTATTCCCCCTGCTGCAGAAATACTGAACGCACTAGCTTTACATTGCCTGCAGCCCAGTGGGAAGGGCAGCGACATTACCCTGATGTATCCACCGGGGACGTGGCTCTGTGAGTCATAGGCTGTCTCCAGTCTCTTTGGGGAAAATGGCACATGTTCCATGCACCCACCCAAAGGTCTGGCATTTCTACAGAGCACACTCTGTTATTGACACTGGAGTTTTCCTGCGACTGGACCAGCTGCTGAGATAGGCTTTTGTCATGTCATCCTCTCCTTGACTCTCCAGCCAGTCATGCAGCCGGCTAGGCCTCTGTTTGGATAAAGAGCTGGCACCAGGAGCACTGCAGCATCTGTGCGCCCTCTGTCACTCTGCAAGCTATGCTCACAACTAGGGCTGCACAGTTATTCCAAAATGTGTCGAAATGGCAAAATATTTGTGCAATATTTGGCGATTTGTGTAATAATATCGTTATGAATTAGGTATTGTGGTCCTGCATAAAAGTTCCAATCTACAAAAGATATTCCACAGACTCAATGAGTGTTCGGCAATCCCTAACGCGTACAGCAGATGTTACACACATGCTCTGTGTGTGTACGTTCATTAAACCACTTTTCCTTTGGTCAGAGCATAACTTATGTGTTTTATAACAACCCTCCTTCTTATCGTATTGCATTCATTCTGGGGTTTTTTCATTCAAAAAATGATGACTGACCTACCCACTCATGAAGTTTAGATCTCTCCTCTCCCTCGTGATAAACCGTGAGTTCATTACCTTTTTATGGCTGTCTCGTTGCTAGTGGATCATGCTAGCGGAGCAAAGAAATGACTTGTTGCACCGGGGCGAGGCTTCACACACTCAGACGTTGATATCTTTAAACAGAGAGTGGAGAGTGGACTCCGTCGGTTCACCCCTGCAGAGAATGCTTCAGATGGTTTATAGTGGTGAAGATCATTTGGAATTGAAGATACTTTGAATGAAATGGAGGAAAACGAATAAGACATGTCCGCCGAGCTCTTGTGTCTTTTGTTGTGAATGAAAGTGTTAAATAAGCACAGCTGCATCTTCAGAAGACCGTTTCAAACGTGTCCTTTTAACCGTTCAAATGTTCCCACAGTGTCCAGTGAGCAAGCCTGTTGTAACAGTCGTTCTCCACTCCTTTTTTCTCAGGTTTCCCTAATCTTACATAGAATATGTCCATCATGGTGTATCCAAGAGAAGAGAAGCTGGAGAAGCTTACTCAGGAAGAGATCATCTCCAACACCAAGCTGGTGATCCAGGGTCTGGAGGCCCTGAAGAACGAGCACAACTCCATCCTCCACAGCCTCCTGGAGACCATCAAGTGCCTAAAGAAGGACGAGGAGGCCAACCTGGTGCACGAGAAGTCCAACCTGCTCCGCAAGTCCGTGGAGATGATCGAGCTGGGCCTGGGAGAAGCGCAGGTGAGATATTGTTTGGTCGACTGAATAATATGAGCTTAAGAGAGAACTAGGTGGGTTACAATACTGCAGACAAAGAGAGAATGGTTCAGAGTGTTAGAAAGTAAAGGCATTTTTTATAGCACAGTTCAATAACTAGGCAATTCAAAGTGCTTTACGAAAACACTCATAGCTTTACAACGTAGTTTAAAGTAAACGCATACAATGACATGTAAGTACCTTTACAGTCATTCAAGAGCCAAGAGAACAGAAATAACAACGAGCTAAAGCAGAATAAAACACATTACACCTTATAATAAAAGTAACAGTGCCGTGTAAGATTTGAATAATTACTTGATTTAATAAAGGGCAGCAAAAAAACTGAAAAAGTCTTCAGCCTGGATTGAACAGAATGTAGTAAATTGGTGTTAATCCACCGAGTCATGTGTCTTTTGGTTGTGAGTTTCTGCTTCCTCATTCTAAACCGAGTTTGTGTGGTGATCGTGATTCATTCAGCCTCAGTGTGTCCTCTCCTGCGTTGCCGCTGTGACATTTTGTCTCCGATAAATGCTCACAGTTCCTGAATGCTGTCTCTATCGCAGGTGATGATGGCCCTGTCCAACCACCTGAACGCGGTGGAGTCGGAGAAGCAGAAGCTGCGTGCGCAGGTGAGGAGGCTCTGCCAGGAGAACCAGTGGCTGCGCGACGAGCTGGCCAACACCCAGCAGAAGCTGCAGAAGAGCGAGCAGAGCGTGGCCCAGCTGGAGGAGGAGAAGAAGCACCTGGAGTTCATGAACCAGCTCAAGAAGTACGACGAGGACGTCTCGCCCACTGTAAGACATGTTGTTAACGATGCATGAAAGCTGTATTATTAGGTTACTTGGGTTGAAATAGTTTATTTATTTCATTTCCACCATGTTTTATGTGCAGGATCCTTTAAAATACATTATTCCTCTTTAGCATGAAAAGCATAGAGTTCAATTGACGGGATAGAATGTGGTTTTATTTCTCGGCCTATGCAGTTGTTGTTTATTATAAGCAGAATGGGACAGAAACAGTCAGAAAACAATGTACACATCCAGTGCCTGATCCTACTTGGAATATTTAGTATGAATTTGCCTAAATGACTCCAAGGGGCAGCAAACAGTGGATTATATCTGATGCAGGAAGAAAATCACAGCTTCCTGGAATGAGCCTTGCAGTTCAGAGAAATTGCTGCATATTCTGACCGTATTCTTAGTCACAGAAGGAGGCTGTGTTTGCCTGTGTCCCCTAGCTGCCTATTGCAGGAAGCCATCCTGACAATTACCTGAATTCCTCCTGGAATCAGGTTTTCTCATTTTCAACATATAACAGGCTTCTGTGTTAAAGCCCAACTGAAATCTCATGTAGACATTTGATAGAACACACGCCACTGTTTCTGTGAGGTTTGAATAGCTGTATCTGAATAACAAAAGATCTCCACACAGTACAATATCAATCTACATAGGCAGTTACCTAATGTCAAACTAATGATAAACTAGGGGGTATCATCATGAACCAAAATATATCATATTTCTCACTTAGCGTTTCTGGTCTTTTTCTCAAATGACACGAAACACAGATTACAAATGACCACCAATGGCATACTTTTCTGAATATGAGATATAGTTATCTTGATAGCCATATCGTCTTAAATATTTAAAGACTGCCGCTAGATGGTTGCTGTCAGTTAACATGACTGACAGGTTTGTTTTCTCCTCTCAGCAGGAGGAGAAGGACCGAGAAACGCCAAAGGACTCCCTGGACGACCTCTTCCCCAACGACGAGGAGGAGCACGGGCAAGGAAGTAAGAGAACAGGATCCATCCCTTCAGCATCATATTATGACAATTCTTCTAAGAAAGTTTGCTGCCATAATGTTAACGTCATCAAGAGCTAAAAAACATGTTAATCAAAAAGGATTTATATAATGTGAAGAAAATGTTTAGGCAATAAGGATTTTGTGGACTCAAAGTAATCACACTTGGTGACGGGACAATGTCTAATTTTGTGTTCATGTTCAATTAAATGTTTCCATAAGCTCACCTGCTTTGAATGAGGAAATCTGGCATATTTAGCTGTAATGCTAACCTCATTTAGGCCTGATTATCTAGTGTCCCACCCCTCTCTCAATAAATGAATATGACTATCCATACAGTGCACTGGGTTGGATAATGTTGTCATGCCAATAAATACTTATTGGATTATAACCCATAATCTAATTATTACACAGGTTTGCAAATGGAGTTTTAATCAGGTCTGAGTTTCCCTCTCTTTGACGTCCAAACTGACCTTTGCCCTGTGCCCCCCCCCCCCCACAGGTCAGCACCAACACAACAGTGCGGCGGTGGCAGCGGCTCAGCAGGGGGGCTACGAGATCCCCGCCCGCCTGAGGACCCTGCACAACCTGGTGATCCAGTACGCCTCCCAGGGCCGCTACGAGGTGGCTGTCCCTCTCTGCAAGCAGGCTCTGGAGGACCTGGAGAAGACCTCTGGACACGACCACCCCGACGTGGCCACCATGCTCAACATCCTGGCCCTGGTCTACAGGTCGGAAATGCCTTCAAATATGAGCTTTTGCTAGTTATTCTTCCTATTTTACTGCAAAAACGACAAACACTCATCATGCTTTACCGTTCTTTCTCATTCAGGGATCAGAACAAATACAAAGAGGCCGCCCATCTGCTCAACGATGCCCTGTCCATCCGTGAGAAAACCCTGGGCAAAGATCACCCCGCTGTAAGACTCCACCATCTTCATAGCAACCATATCTCCATGGGGACATACATGTACTGTATTCATAGATCAGATTAGTTACCTGGTGGTGGTTTATTGTTGCACATGACTCTGTAGACTGAGAGGCAATTACCTCAGTCTACTGTACCTTTTGTTCTGTGCCGTCAGGATTTCTAACCTGTGCCTGCAGGCTTTTAAGGAATCAACCACAGCTGCTGAATGGCTGCTCTTACATCCAGCATCAACTAAACCACAATGAGCTTGCAGTGAGACATTAAACATTAAATTGTGCTTTTTCCATAGCCTCTGAGAACAGATCTGTATGAATGATTTACACTATGGCAACACATTGCGTTGTGAGGCATACAGGAAGCTATTGCAGCACATTGTTTGCTTCATATTGTTATTACTGCTGCCACTCAGTCTGTTCCTGGATACAGAATAATGAAACCCAAAGGATTATTACTACCATCCTGTGTCATCCAGGTGGCTAACATCCCAGTACAAAAACAAAACAGATAAAGGAATTAGCCTCATTTATATATGTGTTCTCTTCCTGTAAATCCAGGTTGCTGCGACGCTGAACAACTTGGCTGTGCTGTACGGAAAGAGGGGGAAGTACAAGGAGGCCGAGCCGCTGTGCAAGAGGGCTCTGGAGATCAGAGAGAAGGTAGGCCACTTCCCTGGATCACCAGGAGATCCACTCGCTGCCAGTGAACAATTAGCTCATTGTATTAAAGTCATTCAAAGTGGTAATATTTCCACAATGTAAGATCGAGCTTCTCTAACACCAGCGACTATAAATAGGGAAATTATTTTCTTAAATTATCTGTGAAGTTTCCGCTGAGGGACGGACGAACGAGTTTAATTGAGAGCATAGATGAAAATGGAGAGCAGGAATTAGGCAAAGGGACAGCGCTTAGCAGAGCGCAATGAGTTTCCCTAAAAAGCTTTATTCTTTATCCTCTCTATTGATCTGCCAGCCTTTTAATAGATCTCCTGCAAGCTGTAAATAAAGGGGACATTCAGAGAGAAAGCTAACGGCCTTGAGGCAGCAGCACAAACTGATATCTTATTTCTCCCTGATTTCCCTCAGGTCCTGGGGAAGGACCACCCAGATGTGGCCAAGCAGCTGAACAACCTGGCTCTGCTCTGCCAGAACCAGGGCAAGTACGAGGAGGTGGAGTATTACTACTGCCGGGGCCCTGGAGATCTACGAGAGCAGGCTGGGGCCAGACGATGCCAACGTGGCCAAGACCAAGAACAACCTGGTGAGAGACACGTTAAAACCACTACATCTGCTTTTATTGTGCTTTGCTATACTTTGAAAAGAATTGGAGTCCCTGTTGAGCTGTGAAGGTACCAAGATAAACACAGGCAGAGCTTAGTTATATTGTGAGCTAATGACTCATCTGTTCTGTCAGCCAGAGTGTCTCTGTGGGGGCGAGTGTAAACTGTTACCGCTCTCTGCCTACCAAGCTTCCACTGGAAATATCTTTTAAAACCATGATGTTTTTCAGATATTCACTGCACCAGAATTTTAAAAGGGAGACTATTTTATCCAACACATGCTTTTTCAAAACAACAGTTATGAAAGGAAGGTTCGTATTATGTAATGTCACACTTCAGTACAACAGCAGCCTCGTTAATATGGCTGTGTACTGGCAATAATGTGGCACTTATCATGATTTAATGGTTATGATACAATATATATTGTGCTACTTAAAGCAAGTGGGTATATTGCAATTTAAGAGACAAAATAATTGTAGTTTAGGGAAACGGTCAGTTGTATATCAATCACACCATACTAATAAAACATTTGTTTACATTGTATGCATCCGAATAGTAGGATCCCACACACTACCTTTGGGCCGTAATTAGCTAAGGAATAACCATTTATCTATTTGCAACAACAAATATAATGAATCCAAAGTGATTGCAGGATTCTTTAGAAAGACTATTTTGGTAAGTACAGTAAGTTATCCACATACTTGTACTGGGGCTTGGTCCCTCTGCAAAGGACCCAGGTTCAAATTTGTCTCGGGACCAATTGTGGCGTGCCATTCCATCCGTCTCCCCCTTTCAACACTATCACTTAAATAAAAGCACTGGTTGCCCAAACAAACTTTTAACAAACCAACAGTGTTATTGTCTCCGTCCTGGGAGAGGGATCCCTCCTCTGTTGCTCTCCCTGAGGTTTCTCCCATGTTCCCTTTAAACTGTGGGTTTTCTCTGGAAGTTTTTCCTTGTACGATGTGAGGGTCTAAGGACAGAGGGTCTAAGGATAGAGGGTGTCGTTTTTCTCATACTGATATTCTGAACAATCTGTGCTGTTGTATTTGCTGTAAAGTGTCTCTACTGTAGGCTATTTTTATTATATGTACAGCACTTTGGCTCGACCAAAAATCGTTTATAAATGTGCTATATAAGTAAAACTTGATTTGATTGTGAATCCATACGGTATCACAGAACATAATATGGCAATACTCGAGTGTATCAATATTTCTACCCGGTCTCACTGATGAAGGCGAGGCTGTATGGAGACAGTAAGGGAGCCTCTGAGGTCCGGTCCCATCCTTTCTGAGTCACAGCGCCTTGGGGAAATATGCAGATCCAATTCTCCTGTTGTCAGGAGGCACATTGTGAATCCCTCAAAACTCAAATATGCTTTCTCTCTTTTTGTTCTTCTTCAGGCGTCCTGCTTCCTCAAACAGGGGAAATACAAGGAGGCTGAGATTCTGTACAAAGAGATTCTGACTCGTGCTCATGAGAAAGAGTTTGGATCTGTTGATGGTAAGGTCTCATCAGAGATATTGTAGATTATAGTGTAAGGCAGCACTCTTTTCAAAGGTTTACTTCTATATTGCAGTGGTGGAGTCAATCAACACAATAGAAAAACAAATGTGTCCCTAGAAAATTGGTGGTGGGTCAAATATGTTTTTATAGATTATGTATTTGTTTTGTCCTCCACTATTGTCTTATCCTCCATCTACTGTTTGTCTCACCCCAGCGAGCGGAGTGAGGGATGGACAGATGGTTAGAAAGTGGACGATGTTCTAACCTTCTCCATTCAGGACACAGAGAATCTAAAACAAACTTTTTGAAGAATAAAGAGTTTACTTGTCTGAAGAACTCTGGCAGTTTTCTTCTCTTTTGGTTTAAGTGAAGCTGCTTGTTGGCTTTTCTCCGGAGATCGAGTGCTTTGAAAAGGGAATAAAAGAAAGTCGGCACAATGAAGCGCTCTGACGCTTTTTAAGCAAAAGCATCTCTCCTCTTTCTGAGAGATTTCTTTTTCACGAGTCACTTGTCTTGACATTAGCTCTCAGATTGGAGTTGAAGGTTAAGTGAAGCAGGAACAGGAACGCTAAGCAGCAACAGTTTGTCCCTGGGAAGGAAAGAAAAGGAAATTATGCTTTATACTTGATCAAAAGCAAATGGTGTTAAATGCTTTTATCTTCGGGTCAAAAAGGCTATGTTTGTGTTTTTCAATGGCATATTTAATGAAAACAGTGCATTAGTAAGTAGAAATGGTTGCGTGTAAATGTCAGTTTACTCGTATCTGAAAAAGGTGGTCATTGTTTCTATAACAAAGTGCATTTATAGTGCCTTCTGTATTGAGATATAATGTCCCATTTCTTATTTTATTTCATGAAGAATCTGAAAAATAATATTTATAAAAAATATTAAATTCAAACATTCTTAAATAATCTCAGGGATTATAGTCATATTTACCACTGTACAGTAATATTGGGCCAGTGTTATGTTTCAATTCCATCTTGAAACTGATGGTGGCAGATGCCAGGAGTCACGAGCCTCTTCTGATATTGTGTAGCACAATGCGTAGAAACAATCCAAAAAGTATATAGTAAATAGTTCCTGGTGGAATTTGTGAAACATCCTGAGGTCGAGCCGCTGTTCTCCAGTCCTGTTGAACCGTGTGTAGACCATCTCTCCTGTGTGTTTGTCTGCAGCTGAGAACAAGCCCATCTGGATGCATGCAGAGGAAAGAGAGGAGAGCAAGGTGAGGGGGTTGTCATGTTATCCTCAAAGATATTTCAAGCAAATTAAATAAATGTGTCAAATCGTAGCTGGCAACATGAAATACAACAGTGCTGTAGCATGGTAAAGAATAGTGAAATACAATCATTTATTAGTGTGTTTCACACACACACACACACACTATAAGCTCCATCAAGCATATTGTAGTTGTATGTAAACACTGGGGAAATGCAGCTGATCCAGTTTTAACCTCCACTCCCAGTCACGCTCCTTTTCACTTCCTCTCCTCCCTTATTTACTTCCAGGGCAAGCACAGAGACAACACTCCCTACGGAGAGTACGGAGGCTGGTACAAGGCCTGCAAAGTCAACAGGTGAGGCGGAGCGGGATCAGCGTGGCTTAAGTCAGAAATAAAGACATGTCATAAAGGCCAGGGATTAGTCTCTTCACTTTTATTCAAATGTGTTCTTTTATAAATGTGTGAAGTTAATATATTGTAGAAATGTTTTTTTATTTTACAGTATTTTAATTTTTCCTTCTTTTAATTTTGCAAAATTAATAATTTTACTTAAAATGTTACTTAAATTACCTTTTTATTTAATATTCATAAAAAAATAATGATATAGTCAAGCATAGAGAACATAAAGACACCAATTCATGGTATTATATTTGTCAAAAGAACTCTTAAAAATATGATTTAAAGAGATAATAATGAACACTAAATAATAATTAAAAGATTATCGAAAAACTAACAATTATTTAGTTTAAAAAATCGAAATAATGAATTAATGATACTGTTATTTGTTTAACTTTACCTACAAAATGATCCTATATATCACAGAATAACACAACACCTCCTACCCGAAACCCCACACAGAGATGTGTTTCCCTCTGAAACTTGAGAGACTAAAAGTTTCCAGAACTTCTTAAAATCCTTTAACTCGTCTTTAGGATAAATCAAATTCCTTCTAGGTAAAGTCTCCGTAGTCATATGACCGGAAGCTTTGTTGTGAACGGTTTTAGTTTCCTCACCTTTGGGTAAATATTGTTCTGCCTGTCCCATTGTCCAGCCCGACAGTGAACACCACCCTGAGGAACCTGGGGGCCCTGTACCGCCGGCAGGGCAAGCTGGAGGCTGCTGAGACCCTGGAGGAGTGCGCTGTGAGGTCTCGCAAGCAGGTCAGCACTCATTGACTTTACAGACAAAATACCTGTTTACTTATCAGTGTCCTGTTTATGTCAATGCTTAAATATGTCCCCCAAATCTCACGATGTTTCTTTCCCTTTCTTTACAATGCTATGGATCCAGAGCAACACAGTAAGTGGTTTGACTCTCACCGATGGCCCCCGTAGAGCCTCCACCTCTCACCCCTAACACCACTCCCATCTTTCAGACATTTCAAATGTTCCCTTTGTCTCTGCCACTGTGACAGTGATTAATTTAAAGAGACGGACAACATCAAATCCCTTTAATACCTCCATGTAACTCCACACTCTCATCCTAATCAACCAGCTAATGCCTACCTCGGAGCTAGTTCTAATTACTGCATGTTTGTGTTTGTGTGTGGCACTTGTGTTTTGTTCCCATCAGGGCATCGACCCCATCCACCAGACTCGTGTGGTGGAGATCCTGAAGGATACAGACGGCGACAGGCGGAGGAGCAGGGAGAGCCTGAGCAGCGTTAAATATGAGAGTGGCTCTGAGACCGGAGAGGAAGTGAGTATGGGGGCCGATTGGAATGGGGTGAGTACAAATCCACTAAAGAGTCCACACAGTCGTACGCCTCACTGGGGAAACAAGGTGGAGATCACAGAGAGTGGACTGGTACAGAACATCCTAGTCAAAAACAATATGACATTTTGAGACCATGGCAATATAATACAAATGTAATATAATATATTGATTAGCTTTACAATATTATTTTTCAATGATTTGAACCACAATACAGTAAAAATTCAAGAATTCTGTTAAAATTAAATAAATCCAAAAATTCAGAGTGTAGATTTAAGTGATTCCGTTCAAAAAACGCTTATTAGTCAAAAGACTTGCTGAGTAGGTAGGTTTACTTTTCTGTTAACATATTGAAACACTTCCTGCTTCTATTAGGGTTTGAGAGCAAAGGTTTAACAGGAAGTAGATTCTTCTGCCTCCTGTACCAGGAAAGAAGCCCCTCTAGATGATGCTCCGCTCAGGAAGCCCTCGCTCCAAACAAACGAGTCATTCCTGCATGACCTATTTCATGATGTCAGTGTTGCACATCATCACAAGTTACAAATGAGTGACCTAATTCATTATATAAAAGGTTTGTGACCTTTTTTTATAGATGAAATGGCTGCCTATTCCTAATTCTTGATTCACCGTCTCTGTACCAGTCCATAGCCTCCTTGTAGACGTGCCTTGTTCCTCTCGTGAGGTCATTCTGATTATCCAAAACTGTAAAGCTGATTGAGTGTCTTGGCATGCCGAACCCGTTGTTTTTGACAGCATCTGAGTAGATGTTCATGTTTTGTGTCGTCCATTGCTTGACAGTGAAGTCCCAGTGTCTTGTTTTAATAAGCGGCCGTTCTGCTGGCAATGCTTCTGCACAAGTGGAGCGGTAACAAAAAGGCACTCGCTCATTCTGTGGCACCCTGGCAACCACATGAAATATTTATCTGCTTTTGTGAGACTCACAAAGATGCATCCTTTCATGTTTCCGCTGTTAAAAAAAATCAGCAGCTTTCCCCAATATTCTGGAAGTTCATTTCCCTGATCTGGGCAGTCGATACGCAGCTCTTTATGCTGCTGTTTAACTGTCTCATTATACCATCCACTCTGGCTGTGTTTCAACAATCGTTAGTTTCATTTTGCCGCAGGGCTTTTATTTCTGCACAGCGTGTCCCATTGGTCTTGTCACCACTCTCCTTTTTAATAAAGGGGTCAGAGCTGGAAGCATGACATTCATTGCAGCAGATAAATAAACACTGTTAGCAAAGAGCTGAGTCCCAGCTCAAAGAAGCCCTCTGGTGATGCTTACATAAAGCACAGTGCAGGTTTGTGCCAGCAGTGATGCCTCGTCTGAGCCTGTGCCCCCCCCCTCCCTCCCTCCCTCCCTCACTAAAGTGCAGCCACACCCTTCACGGCACCAAACCCAGTTCAAACATGCATGTAGCTACGGCAGCCTGCTGGACTCAACATTAACATGCACACTAATGGACCGTATGTGTTTACTGTGTTTACACATGGTTGATAAATGTCTGTTAATATCTGCCGCTCTCTTTAGGTATAGATTGGATTTTCTGAAATAGGGTTGTTTGAAATACTTCTCTATAGTCAGAGTATCACCTTCAGTAATAATCAGAATGCCTTTATTCGTCCCACAGAGGGGAACTATGCATTTGTTACAGCCAAAGACAGCTTAATATTAACCAAGAAGCATAAAATAATATTAATAATCAAAAAATGTTTAAATAATTACACAATTTACAACATACTGCTGTGGAAGCAATACATTATTTGTCAGTTTATTGTACGTTTCATTTAGAATATTTCCCCTGTTTTACTTTGCAGAAAGAAAGCCCTTTCTTTTTTCTATGCTCTCTTTAAAGCCACCAGACAAAAGCACTATTTTCCCGTGCAGGAAAGTTGCTGGCCCACAGCTTTCATCGGTTAGTTGCTTTGTGTCATTGTGTGACTTTGCTGAATTGAACCCTTTAAAACAGCCATGTCACACAATAACACAAACAAAATAACCAATAGATGCATCTGTAGGTAAGCAACTTCTGTGATCTGCATCATTCTGGTAAAATGACTATTTTTGTCGATGGAGTCTGGTGGATTTCAAGCGAGCCAGGATAGAGGCTTCAATTCCCATTTCTAAAGGGAGTCAAAAATGTCCTAAATCTGATATTAAGGTAGCTTAAATAAGTTCTCCCCGTCCACAGCAGTGTTTTGTTTCCTTGATACTCTGGTCTGATTGTGATTCTGACTGTAGATAATACTGACTATGGATAAGAACCTCTTAAAACCCAACTTCAAACAAATCCAAACCATCCGTTTGATCAGAAAGATAGGGTTTAGTTTGCTGGCTTTTGTGTGAATGTGATGCTTCTCTACACACATGTTGATATGTATAACACACACAGCTACTCAAAACTGCTTCACTCCAGCAACGGCATTCGCATTTCCAAACGTGCACCTTATTTGTGAAACGTGATGGCATGTTCGGCGTGTACTAGCATTTCATTATTCATGTCACAACCACAGCAGTAGAATTGAAAGGCACACAGTCCAAACAGCGAAATAAACTCCTGCTTGTTAAAGATTGTCTAAAATGTGTCACGAAACATGAGCTTTTTATCTCAAAGACTGCTTAACAAACTCCATCAATCCATTCATTTACAAAGCTGCAAACATACGTCACTACAACTTGTGTGTTAGAATAGGCTTGTAAAGTCCTGTCTGTGTGTGTAGATAGAGACGATGTGATAGGCCCGTCAGAACTATCACTCAGCTGCTGTAGAGCTTTGCCCAAACATGTCTTCACTCTGGAAGTCACTGAGGCTATAGAAGTGTTTCACCTGACAGCTATAAACTCTACATAGAGCTCACATAGTTTGTGTCGAACAAGTGAAAGTATAACTGAGGAGATGCTCAGGTTAATCGGTAATATCTGAAGTATGTGCGTGTCTCTTCCTGCATGACTTGGTGTGTGTGTCTGCTTTGCGCTCTCGGCTAGATGCTTCAATGTGCTGCCTGTCTGTTTGCATGATTTCCTAGATTTCCTCTTTTTTCCTTTTTTCTGTTTCTACGTGTCACTCACTAACCTACTACCTTGTTGATAACTCTTGCCATGACAACCAATCAGCCTGTCAATCAAATGTACTGTTTCTCACTCGGTGGATTGTACTCTCCCTCTTGAACTCTCATTCCTAGGGCGGGTTGGGTATGTAGTGTCATAGTTATTATATGATTAATGTCAAAGGATAGGGAACAGAGGACCGGTCGAAACAAGTGCAGGATTTTAGATATTTCATCAGATAAAGCACTCAATTTTAGGTTGTTTTTTTTCCAATAAAGGCAAAGATGTTCTAGAATATAATTTCCCTCTTGAGATCAGTGTAATACCAGCATGCCCCTCTCTGCTGATGCTTGCAGATGTCCTGTCTGCAGTGCACAGTCACTGGCTGGCTGCAGTGTGCCAATGCTTTAGTGGTACCCAGAGAGAGGAGAGAAACAGCTGAGTCACCGTGACTGCAAACACCAACCCACTGCATCACTGACCCACCCTGTAGTGCAGATCCTCAGAGAGCTGTAGTGTCTCACAGAGATGGATTTTCACATCCTTGTTTGCATAGGATCCCTGATTTTTCTAGAAAAAGTAATCAAACCCCAAGCTGGAGTTAATACAGAACAGTTGGGGCAGGATAGACCGTTCTACATCAGTGCTTTTTCATCCTTATTAGGTTACTCCAATTACACAGTTAGCTTTGTACATATTATTGGTGTATCATTTGTTTTGTATATAGTGTTTTTGGATCATTTTCATAATCACCTCAGTGCATTCAATAACTGTTAGCTACATTAGCTAGTCATTTAGTCATTTAGTGTAACACCAATGTTTTGGTAGTTTAAACAGCCTGAATTTCTACGGCTCTTCAAATGTTTACCTTCCACTTTTCCCGAAGCTCAACATCTGCTGGGATGGGTGAAAGCTCTCAGAGGAAGGACCTGGCTAACTTTATAAAGCAGACCGCTCTCCTCGTCAACTCTAGGGTGCTTTTCTTCAATTTAGGCTAACAGCGCTTTTTATGGACACTGAGGTCAATGTGAAAATGATAAGGAACCCCAAAGCAAACATTAAATACTATTAACAATATGTACAAAGCTAAACGTTGAAAAGCGACATAACTAACTTAAGAATGACAAATCTGTTAAACAGGGTGTGAAGGTAAAGTTACAGGAAGTAAAGACACATGCAATTAGTCAAACTGATAGATGTTAGGTGTAGAAAAGGCATGAAGCTCAGATTTGTGTAGCGTAGGCAGCCCGACCCTGATCTCTTAATCTCACAATGTGTGCGTTTTTTTTGTCTGTTTCTCTCTCTTTCTCTCTTATCAGGCCTAAGCCATCAAGATTATTCCTCCATCCTTCTCTCCTTCCCCAACACAATAGCAAAAAGGAAGTGTGTTGTCGTTCCCTCTGGCCTCCTCTGTCCCAACAAAGCAACAGCTCCTCTGCCCCTCCCGGTGCCAGCAGAGACACAGAAAGCACCCCCCCCCCCCACCCTCTCGCGGCTGTCATCTCTGCCCCCCCACCCTGCTGGGACGTTTTGGTCTTCTCATCTCGGCTCTCTCTCTTCCTTTCACTCTCGATCCTTTTCCTCTCACTAACCCTGTGTCAAAAGGCTTTTCTTCTCTCTCTGTGACATAAACAAATCATTGTGTGTGAAATCTCTTTCCCTGTGAGGAAGCCACTCGCACATTTTCTTCCTCTCTCCAACACACATTTGTAATTTTTCCTAGCTGCATAGTAGATGTATTTGGCTGGATAAGGGGAGCAGGAAGGTTATTTATTGGAAGAAGGCAAAAGATGATTTTGAGGAGGTGTTGACTAGAGAAATCACAGAAGTAACGGTTAATAGAGTCAATGTAAATCAAAACTGCTGTGATTTGATCTCAATCTGCTTAACAACAAATGAAAGGTGACCTCAAAGCTAGCTTCCAACTGTTGCCTGTATTCAGCCCTTATTTTATTCAGTTTCTTTTAGTCGTTGGTGAGTTTTTAATTCTTCCCAATAATGAGATCAAACGCTTAAGCAGCTTAGAAATAAATGGTACTGTATAGTTTCACATGCTAATCCAAATATCTAATTTCTTTTTAACATCTGAAATGAGAAGGGAGCATTGCCATTTTAGTTTTTTTATAGATTTATTTCCTTTTTAATTTGTATCATTTTGTTGAAATTTTTTTAAAGTGTTGATTCTTTTGTGGCTGAATATTAAAGCAGTGCCGCAGTGTGAAAAAGACCAGAAGGGCCGACATCAGTCGAAAGCAAATTGTCAGATCACAGCAAGCTGTTGCCATGGCAATTCATGTTCAAGTCGCTCTCTCTGGTGTCCTTGGTTTGATTGAGTATTCACGCAGGCTCTACGCTTGAACAATATATACATAGTAGCTCACATTTACAAAGGGAATTAGCAATGTTAGCGACTGTTGTAAAGCTAATACGACGCTAGAGACCAACGAGCACTGGCCACCTGAGAGATTGCTTATTATTAGTAAATCAAAGATAATGGCTGTGAAATGCCCAGAATTGCCTTTTCATTTGTCAGTGCAGTATTAGAAGCTTTGGATTCCACAGTAGTTTAGTGTGTGATGGTGTATGTGTTGGTGGTACAGTCCACTCTGGCTATTTTGAACACAAAGCTTAATGGAGTGTGTTGCCTTTTGTTTTTATTACACAGTCGTTTGCAAAGTAAACATTGTCACTCTGGTGAATCATGTTTTTAGACAACCGAAAAAAAAGTGCAGTGCGAGTGTTTCCTCAAGATCAACATGTTGTTATTTCAGATGTTTAACTAACTGAATGTAAAATGACTTCTTTAAAAAGTGTAGGCTGTATTTCTAGATCTGTGTATTCATTATACGGCTTTTCGGTATGCTACTTGATTCTTCATTCCTTCCAATGAGTACACCTTTACTTGTAATGCAACTGAACAAAAGGAATTGACTATGTACATCACATAATTATGACAATATTGTTGTGTTAGTGGAATGCTTATTTATTGAACTGTCTATTCTTGACATATATATAGTGTGACTTCAGTTTCCCAAAGTGGAATTACATTAATGGTAAAGTCTATAAGCACTATCTTAGTATAAGTAGGACTGCATTATATTTACCATTCTGCATTGTGAAGATTATTGCATCAACACTTGTTGGTATTCTCAAATAAAAGTTTTTCATTTGTGGAGTTTTGTCTTTTTCTCTGCACCGAGAAGACTGTGGTATTGTGCGATCAGTGGAAACCGATCATTGTGTTGAGTCTCTGCTCAGTGGAACAGAAATGTCCAATACCTGTATAAATCCTCTGGTTTACCCACAATGCCCTCTGCTGGTGATATGCCTGATTGCATCATGATTATCAAAATACAATCAAAGTTAATACATTGTTTTGAATGCATTCCACCAAAGCTATGGGTGTTACGCTAACAGTGTTTACTGGTCAGTTAGTGAATAAACACACACTATGCAGGACAGCTCATATGTAGCATTATAATTCCAAAATGAATGGATTGATGGATGAAAAAACGTTGAGGTTTATATTTTCATTCACTTTTAATCTGCTGGTTGACTAAATAAATGCTCATTTTGTTCATAAAAAATCTGAATAAAGTGACAAATCCAGCAGCCCAAGTTAATCACCAATGAACCCAAACCCAAAGATATTCTTGCCATCATGAAAGACAAAATAAATTAACATATTACTGAATAAAACTCTTAAAAAACAATGCTATTTTGGCATTGTTTCTTAAAAAAAAAAAAAGATGAATTTACCAGCATGAAGGGAAATGACACAGCACACTTGCTGGAGCACAATGAGTTCAGTACTCAAACTGAAGTGACTACAGTTTGTTATAATGGTGTACCTTTTGAGAAGAACATTTACTCAATGAATCATTACAATTAGGTAATGTTGAATGTAAGTTATCAGAAAGTGAAAACATGCTAGCATTGCCTGCAATCGTTAACAATGCAGACGGTTCAGCAACATATTTCATCACCTAATGAATTGCTCTTTAAATAATATAATTCATGACATGTGTAAACCCCTTTTTGTGAGACACCACGCTGTTTGGCTGCTGCTACCAGCCAATCACAACAGGACTGGCCTACATCCAGTAAAAGGATAATGATTTGCAGATGTGAGTTCTTGTCTCTTCAGTGCAGAATGGTTGTGCTGATGCTTGTGTTTGTCTGCAGGACGGCAGCGGGGCTCTTCAGCGCAGCGGCTCTCTGGGGAAGCTCCGGGACGTCTTGCGGCGCAGCAGCGAGCTGCTGGTGAAGAAACTGCAGGGCAACGGGCCGCCTGAGCCTCGCAGCACCAAGTAAGAATACAGGATTTCTCTGTAACGATGGGTAGCAGACAGTAATAAGCAATGTGGTTTTGAGGCAATTTGAATAGTAGTTCAAGCTCCATGGATACTTATTTTGCACTTGAACCCAGGATACAGTATTAACATAATTTTTGTAATGTTTGTTCAACAGCATGAAGCGCGCTGCTTCCTTGAATTACCTGAACAAAACCAGTGATGACCCGTTCCAGGTGAGAAACAGTTTTACACTCTCTGAAACACAGGTTGCCATTTTCTACCACTAGAGGTCTCTCAATCAACACAACAAAAGATGGAGGGGGAAGCTGTGTAGGATCATGGGAGTTGTGGTCTTTACCCCCATTTTCAGTGAGCTTCTCCTGGTTAGGATTCGTTAGGTGTTTCTTGTCCAGGAGGTTCTTACAGCAGCGGTATCCTCTCCAAACAGAGCCAGTTATATAAACCAGTAAAAACAATAAATAAAGCTTCACCACAAAAAAAACACCAACACAAAGGGGGGCAGAGAGCCTTTACTTTGCTCAGCTTTTTTCTCTGATAACATAAGATCCAGGTGCCCGATGATGACTCCTTCACCCGGTTCAGATATATAGCTAAAAACAATAGAGATTTTAAAAGTGTGGCTTAAAACTGGATGAAAATCCACTTATGAGGGCACCAACCAAAAAAAACAACTGTTACCTTGATTCAAATGACAGATTTCTTTAGGTTTGACATTTTTGGGAAAAATAATGATGTTACACGATTCAGTAAAATAAATAACATGGGTTTATTCGTTTTTAGTGCTTTTAATGCGGAAATGTTGCTTATTGTAACTTGCTATATCATTAAAATGGTTATGTCCTATCTTTCATGTTGTCTCCTCCTGTATCTTCTCTGATTTTTCTCCTGTTTCCCCATCAGACTCGGGGAGTTCGTAATTTGAAGGAGAGCCGGGGCCTGAGCTCCAGCACTGTGGATCTCTACACCGGAAACTGAGCAGCAGGTTTCTGATCAGCTGATCTGTTCCCGATCCAAAGAGGCTCTGACCTTTGGCTCGTTCTCTGAGCTGTAATGATCACAACAACACTACCAGACAGACTCCATCACACTGCCTTCCTCTGCTTGTTAGCATCCGACCCCAAGACCCACATCCTCCTGAGTTAAGACCCAAAGACATGTTCGGTCATCAACACATTTGGTGTGTTTTCTTTCCAGTTTGTTTTTAAACCAGGTTGTTTCCTTTTGGTCTTCCAGAGAAAGATTGATGTATTTTCCCCTCATCGTGTTCCTAGCAATGGTGATGCCTCAGTGCCTCCTAAATATGGCCGAGAAAATGTACCTCATCTCTCCCCTTATTCATCATCTGTGACTCTGCACTTTGACTGCAAACGTTGCCATATTGTCTCCTGCTCCTGTAAATGTCTCCCTATGTTGTGTGACTTGAGATCCTTGATTGTCTTCCTGTGCCATAGGTCTAAATTAGAAAAGAAATACGTTGTACATTTCTATTTTCTCACAAACTAGTTATAATAAATAGGCCTGGTGGCTATGAAATGATATAATGTAATATTATGACAAATCATTTTATTTTTATTTTAATGATTTTGCCTATTGAGATTTATTTGCAATGCGAGGTGTTGGTTAAAGCTTTGGGAAACAGGGTGACTTGTTTATCTTACTGACATGAGTTGAGTCATGTGACTTGTTTAGGGTAATTTTATACAATAGAAATTGATGCTGCTTTTATCTCCAAGTGTGTTTTTCTGCATTGCAGAGAAAATGTATTTGAGGCATTTATGGTCTGTAAAAGACAACAATGAAAATGCTCAGCTTTTTTATTGTATATACAAAAATGACGAGGATGAACCAGGTTTCTTAATGAATAATGGTCACCCTGAATGATCTCCGGTGCCATACAGATTAGAGCTGCTAACTGTGAGCACATCCTCTTATAATGTTGTTTACAGTGATTAGAATGTGTGATACATTTCTAGTGATGTGATAATTATAGGTTTTTGCACAATTCTCAGATCGGTTTCTTCTGACTATGATTTCATTTTTTAGTGAAGCACAAGAAAACTGGAATGTCTTGTAATTATAATTGTTTTGATAAATGTTTTTTCTTTTTATTATTTGTAATCAACGTGTTAGAATCTGATCACAAATCATAGAATTCATCAGTAAATCAGTGTCATTGTTGGTAAGAGTTGAATGTGTGTCTCATATGTCATGAATAGTCTGATGGAAAATTGGAACCACTCTGATCATGAAAATTAAACCAACAATGTTCTATTTTATGTCGTTCATTCTTATTTCTGGGGGGGAATTTGTAAAAAGAAATTGGTTTAAAGGGGGCCCATATTATGCTTGTTTTCAGGTTTCATATTTGTGTTTTTTGCCTCTACTGTGACATGTTTACTTGCCTTAATGTTCAAAAAGCTCTTTATTTTTCTCATCCTGCCTGTGCTGCAGCACCTCTTTCCACCCTCTGTCTGAAACCAGAGCCCAGTCTGCTCTGATTGGTTAGCTAGCCGGCTGTGTTTTGATTGGGGAACCACTAAACGATGTCCAGCCTATCATCTTTCTAGAGTGTGTTGGAGCGCTAGCCAATAGCCTATCTATTAGTAGCAGCCAGTAGAAGCGCAACTGTTACATAGGGATGTCATTATGTTACCGAAGTAAACAAAGGAGTCCAATCGAGGCAATTCATGCAGGAGTGTGGGTAGAGAAACGTTTGGATTTTAGGCTTTACAGACCAGTAACATACATACACCTATATAACACTCCACAGGAAGCAGAAAACCCCCCACAAATTCCATGAAGATAGTCCTTAAATGTCACTGTTTGAATGAGTGTGGGAACCCTGATGCCTTGCCAAGTTGTGATATATCACGGGTAGAGTTTTCCCTCCTCTTGGTGGAGGTCAGCCCGGGGTTTCTCAGCTCTCTGGTAATCTCTCACTTTGTCAGTGCTTTAATGTGGAGCTTCCACTATTCATCACTTTGAATTTACCGACCGAAGGATGGTTTCATTCTACAGAGAGCTGTCATGCAGAGTTCATTTTCGAATGAAAGTAATAATGTTTTCTTCTTTCGATTGTACAGCTCATTCCAAAAGCCTTCAGTCCAGTTGCATGTTTCTACCAGACATCTATGTGCCAGCTGGACCAGCAGCAGGGTCCACACACTGTTCTACCACGGTGCCAGCAGGGCCGTCCCCTCAAGGTGACAGTGGGCATGGGGACTCACTGGGTTTGTGCCATGTATTACACGTTGAACTGATACATGTACACAATGTGCTGCTTTGCTGAGATTAATAGAGTAGCTATAAAGCAAGAATAGAACATACATGATTTCACTTTAACAACATCTGATTCCAATAGCATAAAATAGATAGTTATTACCCACTGTGAATTGACAATTGTTCCTTTTTCATAATCGCAACAAAATTGAATTATTTTCCAAAAACATTTACTCCACTGACGATATGCATGCTATACCAATTAAGCCTTGCATGAATTAAACAAGGTTCTGCACATGGAAATGTACAGATTGAACCAGGGGGTTGCACTGTTGTATACCTTATCCAGGTCGGGTACGGGCACCGGAAGCGGCACTATAGGAAAAGAGAGAATACCCTATGGAGAATACACGTAAAGCAACATTAGAATCATTGCTTGATACCGAACATTTTGATTTAAAAAATAAAATTACATTTACGTTTGGGATTTGTGTCTATACTGCTTCACTAAAAAGAGCTCAACTGATACAACACCAAAACATAATTGAAAAACATATTAATAGCAATGTTAATAACAATTAGAGAAACAATATACACAACCAATGTGCAAAATCAAGTAAGCAATGAAATATGGTCAAAAGCTTATGCCGCAAACGAACGTTTCAACATTCTCTTTACACAGGATAGGCCTACAAGTGAAAACAAACTAAACCAATTTAATTATGATGAAAGTAATACAAGTTATTTTTTCAGAAAGTACGGTTGCTACCAGTTTAAAATAACATGTGGAAGAAGTTACACTTTCTTACATTTAATTTGAAAGTCCTAACAGGAAGTCGTATGCATTGTCTCGGCTCGCTTGACGCAGTTGTAAAACATCACACAGGCGAGTGGGAGGAAGCCAACTTGGAAACACCGCGGAGCGAAACTCCCTCTTGTTGCGGACTGAACTGTCCCAGCGGTCGGCGGCTCTGGACGCAGGCAGACGGCAGCAACAAACACCGGGTTGTAATGTACCACTGCGGACTAAGTTAACACCAACCCTCTGTCCCATGAGCTACCTGGAAGTTTTAAACTTCGCTTGAAACTTTCGGCGGGGCTTCTCAGTCTGAACTCGTTAAGTCGTTAGTCTGGCCGGCCTGTAAACCGAAGCGTCGGTCCGCACATGTTTCTGCCTTGTTCCTGCTAGTTTCCAAAACAACCAGGTGAACAGGCCGTTTGGCTCCCCCGGGGACCTGCGCAGGTAACACGGGTTAGTTTACCTGTACGCACACGGTGACGCACGGAGCGTTGTTGCCGTTCCCATTTCGCCCTACGACTCTCTCCCGTAGCAGCCGGAGAACCGCACCGGGGTCAGGACGGTCATGGATCTACCCGGAGAGAGCGAGCCCAGGCGGAGGAAAGGCAGGAGGAACCCCGCGGTGATTACCAGGAGGAACCCACTGGTGGATACCATGTATGCCGTCGGTATTATCTTCCTCCAAGGTTGGTAACACGCTGTAGTATTTCAAGACAGCTGTATGCATACGTTTATATTTATCCTGTTCATTCAGAGGCTGTTAAACAAGTAAAAACGTTGGAAATACAGACACCCATTGTAGCGGACCCCGACATTGACCCCCATGCTTTTCTTAAGGGTTTGCTGTGGCTGGTTTAAGTTAGTTCATACTGCCTACAATGTGTGAAATATAACATACAATTACTACACATATAGAAAGTAAGAGTGACAGCTGCTTTTCTCATTAATTTATTCAGAAAAACTCTTACTATTAGTAGTAGTTTAAAGAGTTTGAACATTTTGTTTGTGGTCAATGGAGGAATGGGGCTCCCCTCCCCCCATTGACCCCAGTTTGGAGGAAAGTATTTTCACCCATAGGACTAAACTAGGAACTTGCAAATATATATAGTACCAATACTATGTCTGTTTTACATATTACAATAGTTTCCCAGTAGTTAAATGTATATCCTGGAGCATGGGAAGGGTATTTTTCCATATATCATAGAAGGCAGCCCTGCCATGTCATTATGTATTCCCAGGAGTATAGTGTCAATCCTCACATAACACATTGGATACGCCATTTTTGATTATCATATTCATAACTCTACTCTGCCTCTCTGCGCCCCATGGATGCATGCTTTCATGGGCGCTATTCATATGCAGAGGGGTGCAGACGAGAGTGCTTCTGCCTGAGTGTTATCCCAAAAGAGAAGAGCCAGGAAAAGACAAATCAACATGACGCAAACGCCCCCCACATTGTCTAAAGCCTTTTAAAAGTTCATAACCTCGCCTGTAGACTCTAGAGTGAGAAGGAAAAGATCCTTCCTAGTTTGTGCGAGGAATGCTCTTATCCGGCCAAGGACCTGGCTCATTAACTCACCGTTCATCATGTCACAACTAACTCTGTTTTATCTGATCTGCACATGTAGACTGAGACGAGCACAGATTGTGTTTGTGTCTCTGCCTTCAACACACGAGTGATAGCCAGAGTGGCTGAAAAATTCCTTTAAGTTGAAGTGTCTGTCGCCCCCCTCCAGCCTCCTCATGGTGCCCACTCTGGGATGAATGTGTCCTCTGTGTGCGGGCAGCAGGGGAGACGGGAGGCTGCTCCGGGTGTGTGTTTATAAAACTCATGAATAGAGCCTAGCCAGGTACTGTCATGACTGCCTCGTGCTTTTAGCCCCCTTCAGACATGTCCTATTTTTAAAGGGACTTTCTGAATGTGTTGGAAGCACTGCAAGGGTAGGAAATAGCGGTGAATGAGACAACGTTTTTATAGTTTCTCTTTTCCCACATAAAGCTGTCCACACCAAACACTCCACGATTCCGGAGGGTTGTCTGATGTTCAGAAACCGGGCCCTGTGGTCCAATATTTACCCAGATCCTTTTTTATTTTATTTTTAGATGACAGTAATGGTTCTATTTTGTATTTTTGCTTCTCTGCATCTGATCTGGTTTCTATTTGTGGCTGACCAGTGCCATGCCCCTAAAGCAGCTCTCAGTAGATGAGAGCTGCTTATGGAGTTAATGTCCATAATGTGAATGCATCATCTCTCTTCCCACCCGCCCACCTATTCCTTCCTTCTCGTCCTGCCGTGTGTTTTTTATTTCCTGATTCATCAAGGCAATCGCATTCCTGAAGTATGCAATAACTGGGCTTATTGCCGAGGAGCTGAGATAGACGAGAAATGTTTAAGAAACATCCTCACACACTCTTCTCTCTCAAAGACCCCCCCTCTTTGATCTCTCTGCCTCACCGTGCACATGGAGAAGATCTGCATTTCAGCTCTCCTGGTGCATTAGTCATTTGGATGCCCGTGCTAAAAGTAACATTCATCTTGTGCAATCAAATTTCTCGATAGTGAGTCCTGACTTGTATGGCTTCCATAACCCGCTGTAAAACAAGACACTGTAACTTCAATGCAGAAACGGCAAACCAGTTATTCAATTTGTGTAATGGGTTTTTCTGTTCACTCAACAAATGGATAGGGTTTAGCCCTGAAAAATAAGACATCCAGGAAGTCTGAAACAAGCTCTCCTGTAGTCAAGAATCGACCCGATTTTTAATAAATGGTGGCTCCAATGCTTCTATCCGATGGTGCCCAAGCATTTGTTTCAGCTCTGAGCAGATACCATCTACCATGGGGGGTCTTTTTCTCAATATTTTGTTGGCGTGGCCTCCCGTCTCTGCTTTATTTTAAAATCCATACGCTTGGCTCTTATAACCCTGCTGTGCCCGGACCCTGAAGCTGTTTGGCTGCACGCTGATTTGTCAGATTCAGAAGGGGTGAGAGCATGATGCCCGAGTAAACACAGAAATATGAGTGGAATATATCGGTTTACTGTTTACAATCCTGCAGTGGACAACAGTCATCAAAAATGAAATGAAAATCCAATGAGTGGATTACAATACAGAGCATGCCATGAGATTGGTTTCCCTCGTACAAAGCTGTTGATGCAGTAAACCTCTGTAGCTACATTCATGCATCATATAGTTTTATCGTATTCTAACCCAGATTGATTCTTTCTTTGAAAAGCAGCTCTCACAGTTTCTATTCT